ATTACCAATGAAAGACTGAAGAGTTAAGTTTTGAGGACTACCTTGAGAACAAGGACAATTGTAACGACGGTCATTAGTAGGATTAAAGATACTGGATTCAAGCAGTCCAGCCATTAGTGTCCAGACATGTTGACGAGGAGACCCATGAGTGATACTAACACCATCAACATAATAGGAATTAATATCATTGTGATTTTCAAGGCCATCAACAGTAGGATCAACTGCATCAGGTGATGCCCATTGATATCCTACTACTCTACCACACACTTCAGAGTAACTGATACCATTAGATGGAAACTGAACTGATGTACAACTGCCTACATTTGATGTTGCTCTACCACAAGCTCTAACTCCTCCTGACTGGTACAGTCTAAACCCAGAAGGACAGTTCACTGTAGCATCGGTCATATCCAGATATCCTAGTCTTGTCCATCCTCCTCCTGAACCACACAGCTCCTCCATATTACAGTAAGTATGTTTAGTTCCATCATTAGTTGCAAGTAGGTATACACCAGAAGGACTGTTTGGTTGTTTGTTCTTAATCTCTTGACAAGAAGTAGGGATAGGAGAGAAGGAAGATGAGTCATTGTGTAACATGACAAGGTCTTCCACTAGTAGCAGTATATCATTGATAGCTCCAGCATTAGAGGTAGCAGTCTCCTTGATATGAGACAGAGAAGAAATGATACCATCCAGTTTCTGTTTTATCTCTTGAATATCATGACCATCGTTCCTGGTAGTGTTCAGTAGTTTATTCAAAAGTTCATCAGTTTTGTCAGAGATTGCAATAGTATCAGTATTACTGGTATCACTGCAGGTAGTACAGGCTGCAGTACAGGTATTGTTAGTAGCATCAAATGTAAGAGCAAGATTAGAACTGCTGATAAACTGAGGGAGACAAGCAATAGCTAGTATTAGAAGAGAGAGCATTATTATCCTCTTTGTTTACTGTTATTGACTCCTCACTCCTTTTATGATATCTAGCAGGGCCTGACTAGTGATGTCAAACATGATGCTTTGTGGTAAATGTTAAATTAATATTAGTCATGTGTAGTAGCAGTTGCAGCTGTTGTAAATCTGGTCTTGTTTTTTTAATGCACTTTGGGAAAGTAACAGTAAGTCTTTATACTGACAACAATAAAGGGTAAAGGATATACAATCAGTCATCAGCAGACTCACTTAGAGGAGGAATTCCCTTAAATTCATAGTTTTTAACTGGACTGTACCATCCTGGTACACATATTGTTGATGTGCTAAAATAGTAAACCTTAGATTAGTTGATCAGGTGTGAACTGTGATGACACTGTACTACTACATGTACAAAGTATGGTATTCCAAAATGAGGTTCACTTAAGGACTGCTCTGACAGTGTAGAGTGTAAAACTCTTACACAACACATCTTGTTGAAAATTGCATATGCATGTATGAAGCTAATTTGCCCATACCTATGCATACATGTTTGGAGATTTCTTCTCTCTTGGTTCCAATGAAAAATGTAGTCAAAGACCAATAACTTCAAAATCCTAAATACATTTATAAATGTTCCAAACTTCAACAAATACTTCATACGTGTACTTTAAAGCCTAATCAGAAGGAGACTGTCTTGTATTGAAGGACACAAGACATGAACAAATTGATCATATCCCAAGGGGTAAAGCACAGTGCTAAGAAGGCTAGGCAGTGCCAGAGGCAGCGGAAGGACGGTCTGATTGGTGGGGCTTAAAAGGAAAGATGACGGGTGGTGGTAATAGGGCGCGTGAAGCGCACCACCAATTTGGGGCGTGGCTCTTTACACACGCCTGCGGCCCAGTTTTCGGGTTTTTGCACACACCCTGCAACCAAGTTTACATATGTTGCATACCAGAAATTATGTATAATAAATCTGATTATTATTTATTTTATCAAAAGTTTTAGTCTGAAAAGTAAAAACTCTAAATAGAGTGAAAATAGCAATGGAAGTTTCCCAGAGCCATGAGCATATGCGCATGTGGATCTAATATCCACCCATAATTAGGAAGAATTGTGGAATTATGAATAATGTATTATTATTATTATTAATTGATCATTTTCATTATTATTCATTGATTGACTGTCCATAAATAGTGTGTCATTTTTGTTAATTATTATCTCTTCGTCTTCGACTTCTTCACCTGAGTTCATAAAAGATTGTTTGTTATTGTCAATTGTTTGCGAAATTTTCGTAGAGTACAGTGGAGGGCCTGCTGTACAAGACAACCCAGCGCAGAAGAGACTGAGCTATCGGAACTGAACTCACATTGTGGTCCACTGCGAGACGGATCGTCAGATCAGGGAGATCGACGAAGGAGCTGAGGACAGTCTTGGCTATCTAAATCGTGACGGGATCATTGGACTGTACTGGAGTTGTCGCGGAGTTGCATTATAGAAGTCGTCGTGAGTGTTGTTTGTTGTTTTTGGCATTTCTCACCTGAGTGTAATCGCCATAT